GCTCCCCCAGAGGTGATGTTGTCCCTGACAATGAGGCGAGCCATCGAGCCTTACTGTGACGACACAGTGGAACTCTCAATGAAATCACCAATGTCGGTGTCAAAACCGGCGGATCTCGGGTAGGGGGTCCCGAACTGTGCGTCTAAGGCTAATGGTAACAGGAGACTGGGGACACGATGTTTACCCAGGTTCGGGCCCTCTCGATGGAGGTAATACCTTAATTCCTGCTTGATTGATCTTGATGATATGAGTATTACAAGAGTTGATCTACCACGAGATCGTAGAGGCTAAACCCTAGGAGCTAGCCTATGATTATGATTGTGTTGTCCTACGGACTACACCCTCCAGTTTATATAGACACCGGAGGTGGCTAGGGTTACACAGAGTCGGTTACAAAGAAGGAGGTCTATTATCCGGATCGCCAAGCTTGCCTTCCACGCAAAGGAGAGTCCCATCCGGACACGGGACGAAGTATTCAATCTTGTATCTTCATAGTCCAACAGTCCGGACAAAGCATATAGTCCGGTTGTCCGGATACCCCCTTATCCAGGACTCCCTCACCCGGGCCAGCCAAGGAGGCCGCGGCCTCGGCGGTTGGAGGTGGCCGGGCACCCGGAGTGGCCCGAGGCCTCCGTTGCTCCATTCTTCTTGTTCCCTCCCTGCTCGTCCTTCTCCATGGTTGCTTGACTCTCCATCCTCGTTTGCTTCCGGTCATCTCCTTGGTACCTAAGCATGCATAGAGTTTCCATTTGAGGTAGAACCCAATTCATATGTGAATCCGAACGAAACTCGAAGAGGAAAGAAGTGACCTTGTTCTCGATGTTGCGTGCATGTGCTCTTGTCATTGGTCCTCGAGGTGCTTGCGGTGGTGGTGTGACGTCCATGGGGATGGTCGAGGGATGCTCCGCATCACAACCCCTTTATGGCGTTGGGTGCAAGTGTTTGATTGTTTGTGCAGGTATTGGTGATTTGTGCGTTGTCTCCTACTAGATTGATACCTTGGTTCTCTGAGTAAGGGAAATGCTTATCTCTACTTGCTGCATCACCCTTTCCTCTTTAAGGGAAAAACCAACGCAAGCTCAAGAAGTAGCAAGCAGCAGCAGGGAGCGGCTCGGGTAGGCGCTGGCGCGCGAGGGCACAGCAGAACGCGCAGGCCGGGCGGCAGCGGTGCAGGGCGCGCGCGGGACGAGCAGGGGAGGCCGGGGCGTTGGCGAGCTAGGGAGAGGCCACGACGGGGGAGCGAGAGGTTACGGGGAGGAAGGGGGAGCAGCGGTGCGGGTGAGGCACGCGGCAGGGACGTAGAACAGCAGCACCAGCGGGATGGGCTGTGCGGGTGCTGGTGACCACGGGTGCGAGGTGATGTCTACTACGCAACCTTCTTCTTGTAGATGTTGTTGGGCCTCCAAGTGCAGAGGTTTGTAGGACAGTAGCAAATTTCCCTCAAGGGGATGACCTAAGGTTTATCAATCCATGTGAGGTGTAGGATGAAGATGGTCTCTCTCAAACAACCCTGCAACCAAATAACAAAGAGTCTCTTGTGAGTAATTTATCCTTGTTAGTGATAGTAGTAACACGTCGCAGTTTTGACATATTTTCACCCCTTAATGTTTGAACATCTCCAATAAAACATTCTTCACTTGATATATTACAAGCAAGTTGTTTTAAGAGGTCATGCATTTTGCATTTAGCCTGGTCAAAACTTATAATATCTGGCTAGAGGAGATTCTGATGTATTAGATCATGGTAGTACTCTTCTGCCATGTCTTCTATTAGTTGACCTTGCTGCTCCTCAATGAAGCCTTCAGCAATCCATAACCAGGTAACTTCATCGCATTCAATGACAGAATCTTCAATATACAAAGCACAATAAAGGAAACACTGCTTCAAACGAGGCGGTAACTCATCATAGCTTAGATACAAAGCTTCTTCTATTTCATCCAAGAGGATGCTTTGAGAGCCAATAAATCTTCCCAAATACCTTTTCCACTCATTCTCTGTTAGTTTTCTGCTTGACAAAGCACTGGCGGTAACCTTGATTGCAAGAGGGAGGCGACCACATTTATGAACAATCTCAATCCCTGTTTCTCTTAAATTGTGCACTTCCTTTTCTTTCTCGATGTTCATGCTCTTCCAAAGTAGCTCCCATCCCACCTCTACTTCCATGAGATCAACTTGATGGGTATGGTGTACACCTATTCTCTTTGTAATTTGACCATCTCGTGTGGTTACCAATATTATTCCCACATTTGTTTCATGAAATGCAGGTCTTAGTAAATCTGTCCATACATTGGAATGCCACACATCATCAAGAACGAGAAAGAAACTCTCACCTTTAATTGTTTCAATAAGCTTCTCTGCAGTTCTGTTATGCTTTCATCTTGCTCACTATGCACACCAATATTTCGGAGGACCTCTTTCAAAAGAGTTACTTCATTGTAGTCTTGCGAAACAGAAATACATGTGTGTATCTTGAAGCTTCCTTTTATTTTCTGATCATTGTATATTTTTTGAGCTAGTGTTGTCTTACCAACTCCTCCAGTTCCAACGATACCGACCTTGTAAGACTTGTATTCCTAGTGTGCGAGCACTAAGTCAACCAACTTCCTGGTAGAATGTATAATCTCCTTCCCCACAAGGTTGGGCTCAACAAGATTGGAACTTCTTATTAGTTTGGATGTTGTACCTTTTCGAGTAGGTTGTGTACTACTATTGAAAGTTGAAAATATCTTGTCATTTGCAATGTTCTCAATCTTTTTGTTCAGGCTTCTAATCCGAACAGCAACATCACGGCGTGGCATTATGTTGCAAAAACAAGAGGAAACTGAAAGGCCTTTACATGAAACTGATTTGCCAGATGATGGTGAGGGGTCATTAGCAAGTAGCTTGCTTCCTTTACATCTAGCCACATCCAAGATTTCATCAACATCATATATAACATCTCTCAGTTGACCAAGCCAATTGTTTACTGTTTGCTCCTTTGTCCTCCTTTTCTCAGCATCGTATATACAACACTGAATTAGTTTCACTCGCCGTAGCAGTTTTGTGAGCTCTTCTTCCACCCCTAGGATTAGTATGGCCTCATCTGTAATGACATCTTGCAACTTATTGACACTTGATTTAATCAAAGTTTCAAGTATGGCCGCCATGGATAAGAAAAACTCTGTGCCAGAGGTCCACCCAAAATACTAGGAAATTCCGTGAGAACGGCAGAAACCGAAAGCTGAAAATGAATGCACAAGGTATGATAACATCCTTCCAAACGGAATTTTTCACTAGTGGGCTGCCATTTACATTTTCAATAATTTAGCATAATATAGCTATGCACATACAGCTTGAGTTGTAGCGCCAAGTATTGAGGTCTAAATTATTGATCATTTGGCATTATGTTCTTTAATTTATTTTTTCCCAGTTGCCATAGTAGCCTCCACACCGGACTACTACTGAAAATGTTGCATTTAGTTACAACATACAGTGATACAGATAATTAATGCAGCCATTTTTTTTGTCTAATCCATCTGAACTCTAATTGGTTTCATACATGATAGCCTATTAATCATTATAATTTATTCCACTGTAGTTCTGAAACCAAAGCCGGAAGCTCTCTGAAGAACGGTAGCAAGTTTTTACCTTCTAGCCCATCCATAGTTTTGAAGATCTCGCAAGGCTGAGCACAAGCTAGAACCACAATAGATAGCAGAAGATTATCGGCCAATCACCATGCTGCATGCTGCATCTGCAATGGATGATACAAGATTATTGACCAACTGGTGAACGAAACTTGGGAGTCTCCATCGTGGCCGCCCTTTGCCGAAAGTTCAGAACTCCTAGAGCTCAGCAATAGCAACCTTCGCCGAACTGCACACACTCGTGCCCTGTTTATTCTGCAGCTGTGTCGGTTCTGCATCATCTTCGTCGTCGACATCTATGTTTTCCTTCACCAGGTCACACACAGACACACAGGTTTGACGATACAGGTCAAGCAATTTCAGTGTGGCAAACCGCCAGACCCCAATTCCATTCAGAGAACAACATCATGCATGCCAACACAAAAACCATCGGTCACATTCAAAGAAGGAAACCGTGTCAGACAGGTTCTGTGCAGCAAAGAATGGAATCCATTGCTTACATCCAAAGAATGAAACCGTGTCACGCAGGTTCAGTACAACGAAGGTCTCCGGCTCTAGTTCAGGAAAGGAAAAAAAAATACCGAATTCGATACATTGCAGATCAGTTGCCTGAAGAAAAACAGGACATTTCCTTCGAAATCTCGCTACAACATCCACGTACTTGCACTTCCTCAACTTAGTATGTCTCGTGCGCCCTTTGCCCCTCGAAATGAACTGCACCATGACTCGTCAGCATTAGGCTGCCACCATTTTGTCAAACATATAACATGAATTAGGGAACAAACCGTAGTAATTAACAACTAGTTACGACAAGCAAACAAGAGACCAAGGCATCCACTACAAGAACAAGAGGAGTGCAAAGCATAGCCATCTACGACAAACCCATTACAAGATATGAATTTTATTTAACACCTACAACTAATTCAGAACCATTACAAATTATGAATTTAACACTACTGAGTGTATACTTGCACATACACATAGATACACGTGGAGCCAAAAACAAGTTTACATACTGGTGTTATCAACTCTTAGAACATAAGCAACAGTATAAGTTTCCTATGCATGCTAGTTTAAGGATGGAACACACACAAGCAACTTAGGGCAATATTATCGCACAATGAAGCTCTTTTGTAAAGCTCTTTTGTAATATGCACAAGCACAATACATTTCAGAAACATGGTAAAAATGGATTTTAGAAATACTGTTGCATAAGCATACTTACATACAATTGAATAAAGCTTGCAATTTATATCACCAATGAGGCAAAAAAAACTGTGTTGTTTGAGTTTGAATTATGGTTCCGAGAATCAAAGGCACAAAAATTAATGTGCAACTAGTATATATATATGCAGTGTTCATACCTTGTGCCATCTAACTGCTAAACATCGTGTAAACATCCAGGTCTTCGTCATGAAGCTGCCGGTGTTGCTTTTGAAGCCCAAGCACCCAACTAGAGGAGATCTCTTCCATATCCTCACCCAGCCACAACTGCCGCACACTGTCCAACCCATCCACATGGCTTAAGTTTGGACAACCATTTACACGAAGCTCCGACACTTGAGGGAGATTAGAGAGTCTCTCCAGGCCTTCACATTTATTAATAATAAGGAGCTCAGAGAGCAGTGGGAGGTCATCCACAGCCTTCAAGTTGTTTGTTTCAATTAGTTCGAGGTGCTTTAATCCGGCAGTGTCCACTCCAAGCTGTAGCGGAAGGGCCCTCAACTTTGGGCAACCATCAAGTTTCAACTTCACCAAACGAGGCAGCAGTTGCATTCTTGCAGATGGGGCATCCTCTTTCTGAATCTCAGCAGTTCCATCCTCTCCCCTTTCATTAAGAGCAGCTTCTATTTCTTCTTCAAAAAAAGACCACTCCTCCCAGTTGGGCATATCCCTGATGATTAACCATTCAAGTTTAGGGAAAGCAACCAACTGACTACATATGGAATGAGCCATTGTGCAACCAACAAATTCAGGTCCAACCTAACTGCATATGCTTCCTCAATCCTCAGATATTTCAAGTTGGGTAGCTGGCCAATCGGTGGAAGACTCACACATCGTAGATTTCTGAGGATCATGTGTACCAGTGAGGACAAACAGGTGCTACCAAACCAGCTGGGATAGCGCCGACCAAAGAACCCAATAATATATAGGGTTTCCAAGTTAGCTGGAGGTATTAGCTGCTCAAACACCTTCTCAGTATTTCTAATATCTTCTGAATATGATGTCCACTCTAGTACTAGTGCTTTTAGATGCTTTTTATCCATCAACAGTGTATTTGTACTACAACAAGCTGCTCTTTCCAATTTAACCAATGTAAGATACCTCAGCAGCGACGCGGATGACAACTCTTCCAACCTCCATCCATCTTGTACATCAGCATTATTACTTCCTTCTCCAACTGGAAATCCTCGCACATCAGTGAGGAACTTCAATTTTCCTATCCCTTTTGGAACCTGATTTATTTTTGTATCAAGAAGACTGAGACATCTTAAACAATACAACTGCGACATCACTGAAGGAAGACTGTGCAGAACATCACAATAATTCAAGCTCAAAATTTGAAGGTTCTTTAGGGAGCCGATAGATTCCGGAAGACAGGATATGCCAGTATAATCAAAATCAAGTAGCCATAGATGTATCAGTTTTCCTATATGATGTGGAATGCTCTGTACAAGTGAGTAATTTAGTACCAAAACATGAAGAAGCAGAAATCTCTTGAACAATGCATCCTCAATGCTCCGTGGACCAAGAACTGTAAAGAACGTCCTCACCTTAGCTTCCACCTTATTCATTCTAGGTAACACTAATTTATCTTTCTTACTCACAACAGTAAGTCGTCGTAATTTTGGCATATTCACACCCCTTAATGTTTCAATATCTCCAATAAAACATTCTTCTTTTGATATGTTTAAAGCAAACTGTCTTAAGAGGTCATGCATTTTGCATACAGCCTGGTCAAAAGATTTGTTATCAGGTTGGAGGAGATTTCAATGGATTAGTTCATAGTAGTACTCTTCTGCTGTACCTTCTAGTAGTTGCTCTTGTTGCTCCTCAACAAAGCCTTCGGCAATCCATAACCTGGTAATTACACGACGAAGAATGGCATAATCTTCAATATACAATGCACAATAAAGGAAGCACTGCTTCAAACGATACGATAACTCAATGTAGCTTAGATATAAAGCTCCCTCCATTCCATTAGAAAGCATGCTCTGGGAGCAAGCATATTTGCTCAAAATCTTTTTCCACTCATTTTCTGTTCGATCTCTGCTTGCCAAAACACTAGCAGTAACCTTGATTGCAAGAGGGAGGCAACCACATTTACGGACAATCTCAATCCCTATGTTTCTTAGATTCTGCACTTCTTTCTCTTCGTCAATATTCATGCTCTTCCAAAGTAGCTCCCATCCCACCTCTACTGACATAAGATCAACTCGATGGATATGTTGCACACCTATTGTCATTGCAATTTGAACATCTCGTGTTGTTACCAATATTGCTCCAGCAGTTGTTGCATGTAATGGAGTTCTTAGTAAATCCGTCCATATATTGGACTGCCCACATCGTCTAGAACGAGAAAGAAACTCTTGCCTTTAATTGTTTCTGCAAGCTTTCTCTGCAGTTCTCCAATGGTTTCACCTTGTTCATGATAGACACCAATATTGCGGAGAACTTCTTTCAGAAGAGCAACTTCGTTGTAGTCTTGTGAAACACAAATCCATGCGTGTATCTTGAAGCTTCCTTTTATTTTTTGGTCATTGTATATTTTCTGAGCTAGTGTTGTCTTACCGACTCCTCCGGTTCCAACAATAGCGAGTTTGTGAGATTTTTTTTCCATGGTTGCAAGCACCAAGTCCACCAACTTCCTGCTAGAATGTATGATTTCCTTTCCCACAAGGTTGGGCTCAATAAGATTGGAGCTTCTTATCAGTTTAGATGTTGAATCACTTCCAGTAGATTGTGTACCACTGTCGAATGTTAAGAATATGTTGTCCCTCAAAATGTTCTCTATCTTCTTGTTGAGGCTTCTAATCTGAACACCAACATCACGACATGGACCGATGTTACAAAAGCAAGAGAAAACTGAATGGCCATTACATGCAGCTGATTTATTTGATGACCATGAAGGATGGTCAGGCAGTAGCTTGCTTCCTTTGCATCTAGCCACGTCCAGGATTTCATCAACATCATATATAACATCTCTCAGTTGGCCAAGCCAATTGCTTACTGCTAGCTCTTTTGCCCTCCTTTTCTCAGCGTCATATATACAACACTGAATTAGTTCAACTCATCGCAGCAGTTCTGCAAGCTCTTCTTCCACCCCTAAGATTAGTATGGCCTCGTTGGTAATGACATCTTGCAACTTACTGGCACATGATCGAACCAGAGCTTCTAGTATGGTCGCCATGGATGAGGCAAACTCAGTGCTAGAGATCCACCAAAGAACACCAGGATCAGGGTGACTTGTTTAATTTCGGAATGGCAAAAACCAAAGTCTGAAAATTAAACTGAGACAAGTCTCAAGTGAAGTTATATATCAACACAAAGGATGTGAGCAGATATAACTACTGAGTTGTTGTTAACCTTTTGAAAAATATTAGCATAATGAAGCTATGCAATGTATATACAGATATAGTGCCCTGACTAGTTTCTTTTTTTTTTCCTGCTTCTGTCAGGTATATTAAACTAATATACTGATTTGCTTTTCTCAGCTCAAGGATATTAAATGGCAGCAGCTGCATAGAAGCATATATACATAAAGAACCGCAGAAAAAATGTTGCATTGCGTTACAGTATATATACAGATATTAACCATACAGCTATATATTTGTGTGTCTGATCCATTCTACCCTTGACTAGAAATGATGATAATTTATTCCATGGTAGTAATATATATGAGAGTCGATAGCAAGTCCTTACCTTACAAACAACTTCCAGCAAGGGAAAAACAGTCAATAATAATAATTATCAACAGTGATCATCTGGAAGACACGGTATGCCCCGATGGTCAGCCAATTTATACTTTCAAGATCTGGTAGGGCTGAGCGCAAGCTAGAAGAAAAACAGAGAATAGAAGATCATCGGAGCACTCTACTGGCCCGTATGAATCGGTGGTGATCAGCCGAGTAAACCGACCAGTGTTCTGCAAGGAAATCAACAGGTAAGGAAGGAATAACAGGACAAGAACGGAACGAACAGAAGCCACAAGTTTCCTGATGCCTTACCAGATCCAATTAATAGCTGCTAGATCCCCCCTCTGCTTCCGTAAAAAAACTGCGGGGTAGATAGAAGAGTCCATGGAGACGAAGGATGCCATTAGCTGGGAAGGTGAGAAAGAGATTGGCGAGGTGCCCATTAATTAGCTGCTTTGCCCATTGGCTGCGTATTGTCAACACTCACTGCTTAATTAACTTGCAAGTAGCAACGCCAAATGAATAGATTAAGCTAATCTGCAAAGAGATTCCACAAGGACAAGGACCTGCCAGATCCAGTCTGCTTCCATTAGTAAATTAATTATATATATGTTGATATTGGGGAATTTTTTTAACAAAAAACAGTGATAATTAACACAGTTACCTCATGTTAATGGTGTTCTGACCGGTAGGAGCCATCTGTGAGCCCTGACGCGGCACAAAAGCCAATACTGTTTGTGTCGACAATTAAGTTGAACCGAGAGCCCACTCGTCAGAGTAAACACTCCTCTCTCATATAACCCCTCTCAGGGGCATTTCGTCGAACACCTTACTCGCAACGACGGTGGTGTGCCGGGCGTGGTGGGTGCCAGAGCAGGGGCGGCGGCAGCGGCTTAGTGTGGGTGCAGGGGTCGCGGTGGGTCCCGGAGCTTGCAGTGGCGCGCGGCCAGCAAGGCCATGGCCAGGCTCTTGACGGCGGTGACCGGGCCCGAAGCCGGCGAAGGCGAGCGCGGTGCAACCGGGAGCACGGCGGGACACACGGTGCTCCACTGCAGTTCCAGTGTTACTGTACGGGTATAGTGGCTGTCAAAATCAGGCGTCAATTGCAATCCAACCGCTCTCCTTTCTCCCCGTTAATTCTACTTCAGTTCAGAATTAACAATGGTCGTCAATGCACAACGCACGCTAACTAGACCCGGAGATAACTGACTAATTAACCACTAGCCTGTATGTATGTCAGTATGCATCCATCACGGCATCACGTTAATCCAAAGCAAGCACAGTAAAACTCCAACTGGATTAGCTTAACCACAAGTTCTTAATACTTACCCCGAGCTGAAAGAGATATAACTCTACTTGGGGCTCTGTTGTGAACACTTAAACTTAGACACTGCATTAGCTAGCTAGTTAACTCTCTCGATCAACTTATAAATTAGGAGCCCACAACCCTCAACTTAATCTGAAAGCCATTGTTCCATCCCCGGCATTCAGATTCAGAAGCGTCCCCAAAATATCAAACCGTGTTTTCAGTTTTTACATTGGAATGTCTCAACTTCCGGATCGGCGCCGCGTCATCACCCAACTGCTGTCCCGCGCCGCGCGGCTCGAGCGCGGAGAGGAGCGAGCCCCACCGCCACTTGCACCGACCGGGCTTTGCCCAACGGCGGCGAGGGGAGGAGACGCGCGAAGATGACCGAAGTCCCGGTGGCTAGGATTCGCCCTTCAGTCGCTCGCGGGAGCGACGCGATGGGGAGGAGGGGTGATGTGGGTGCTGGAATTTAGTCTATTTTGGACAACCCAATAACTATTTCAGAAATTCCTAATAAATCCTAGAGGCCCACTTAGCCCATTTGTGCAAGGCAAGGGATACTATCAAAAATTTAGTCCCACATTGCTAGTTTAGTGGGAGTTGGACCTCCTTATAAGGGGGTTCTTTCCCCACTTGTATGAGCATGAGAACAAGAGGGACATCCCACGCGCGCTCCTCCTCCGCCGCCCGCCTCGTCACGACGCGCCGCGCCGCGCCGCGGGTTGCGGGAA